GACACATATATATTGAATAAGTAGCATACCAAAGATGAAATGCATTGGAATGCATTATTAACTTCCAAACCGATGACATCTCACTCTATTACGATACCATCCGGTCCGTGGGACTTATTGTTAGGTGAGTTAAGGAATTCTGATTTGATATATTGCATAATCTTTTTTTTTATAACATGGTTACCTTGGCTATGAGTTCCATGCACTTGTCTGGATTGCATCAGAAAGGGTTGAGTGCTCTTATATAGCCTAGATTTCCACCAGAAATAACTTGATCTTGAGCTCCAAGAAGGCTATATATACAAATACGACACAGTTAGATTCAATAGCCATTTAGTTTGTTATAAGGACATAGGCAGAATCTAACAAGATATACATGGGATTTCCAACTTATCTAGTTGCTACAACTCGATGAAAATACTCAATGCTTTTGTTACCTTCCGATCCTTCAAGCATTTATCCAAAATTTTGTTTAAGAAAAACATCTAGAGCTTTAGCTACATCTCGCTTATAGGTGCAAAAATAGAGGATTATATCTGCTACAATTCGATGAAAATGGTAGATGGGTAGTTGGGATATTCTTGGTAAAGGCGGACAATTTTTCTTGATCCAAGTTGAAAACTCAAAATAATCTTCATTCATGGAGAACCATAGTTATATAACATAGCAAACTAATATTACAATAGATCTCAATATATTTTTATATATGATATGAAACAGACAATAACCTACGGAGATTAAGAAATACTTTACATTAGGGCTAATTGAGTTTAGCACAGTTGAGTTGCTTAAAGTGTTTATGAGCTGCACGATTTTCTGCAACCGCCATGTCGACGAAGTCTTTGCCTTGTTCATCAGAAGAAATTGTGTTGGAGGATGTAAAAATATGAACAAGAATGTCTATGATGCAACCAAGAAGAGGAATACTTGAACAATTCATTGTGACTCGAGGATCATCCATATGTATCGATCTCTTGAAATATTGTAAGAGTTTTTTTTATAATGTTTTTTGGTTAATTGATATTGTAAGAGTAGAGATGAAAGGAATATAATTACAAGTGGATGATGAATAAAAAAAGAGAGGTAGAGATGTGTTCAAGTAAATCCTAATGGGAAGAGTGACTCAATGTCCACGAACTACCTAAGTTCTCACCACCTCTTTATGATTTTTGAAAAGTGAGTGCTTTTCTTGTTTTTTCTACGTGTAACTTTTGAAAATTCAAAAAAATAATTCATCCACTTATGACTCAAGACCAAATATGGAAAAGTAAAGAAAAATCTGATTAGTTTCGTAGTACTGACTGCTTTTCAAAATTATTCTTTTACTTTGTG